TAAACCCCATCCTCTGCTTTTCTATTTCTTTTCCCACAGTACAGATCACCTGTTAACATACCATATAATGTACCTGGATTCATGTTTATGGCAGATTATCCGTCTGCCCCCAGCTGGAATATCTGTTCCATGAGGGTAAGTGTCTGTCTGCTTTGTTTATTGATGTAAACTAAGCACCTATAAGAGTTTTTGAGTCAAGGAAGAATTAAGTCAACGATCATTGGTTAAATGACCAATAGCAGCGTACTGGGCAGGCATATAGGTTTCAAAATTTTGTGGTTTCGATTAGCTATTATAAATAAGCTGTTCTGCAGTTAATGTTACAAGCTTAAGACACGTTTCTGTTTCTTTTATCATCATAAACATAAACTACATATGAAGATAAAGTTTCAGACCCAACATGATAGCTAAAATGCACATTTGAAAAATATATATATACTAGTTGATTTGTTTTCTTTATCCAAAATAGAATTACATTCCTTTTCAAAACTTTTCCTTACATAGGTGTGTGTACATATATGCTTATATATATAAATACAATTCCATCTAGTCAAAGCTTTGGTTTTTCCAGTAGTCAGGATGGATGTGAGAGCTGGACCATAAGGAAACTGAGCACTGAGGAATTGATGCTTTTGAACTGTGGTGTTGGAGAAGACTCTTGAGAGTCCGCTGGACTACAAGGAGATCAAACTGGTCAATACTAAAGGAGATCAGCCCTGAATATTTATTGAAAGGACTGACCCCGAAGCTGAGGCTCCAATAATTTTTCCACCTGATGCAAAGAACTGACTCATTGGAAAAGACCCTGATGCTGGGAAAGATGAATGTCAGGAGGAGAAGGAGATGGCAGAGGATGAGATGGTTGGATGGCATCACCAACACAATGGAAATGAGTTTGAGTAAGCTCCAGAAGAAGGCGGAGGACAGGGGAGCCTGATGTGCTACAGTTCATGGAGTATCAAAGAGTTGGATATCACTGAGTGACTGAAATTAACTGAAGGTATGCATATGTGTTATGTATATAACATAATGATTTTATGATCATTATACATAGGTCACATTGACAAATAATGCTATTTTAGTTTCAGGTATCATTATATATAAATCATATTGTCATATAATGTTATTTTGGTTTCAGGTATACAGTGTAATTATTTGATATATATTGCAAAATGATCACCACAATAAGTCTGGTGAACATCTGTTACTAGAAATTGTTACAATTTCCTTCTTGCAATAACTTCTAAGAACTCTTAGCAGTGTTCAAATAGGCAATGAGTTTATTCCAGTTTTGACTTACTGCACTTAAATGAGACAAGTGGCCTTGAGTCTTAGAATCAAAGAATCATGTTGAAACAGTTGAGTTGAATCAAACTTCTCAGTGCCAACTCATATAGAGCTTTCTTGAAAAATCCATCCCTGGTTAGGCCCCATCACACATGGTATGGTGTGCAGGCATAGATCAGTGTTTAAGGCTTCTGCTCTCTTTTCCACTTGTCCATGCAATTCTTTCTTGACGTCTTCATCCATCTCCTGTCTTCACTATCCAAACAGGTTATAATTATGGCAGAACATGTCTAAGTAGCTACACTCACAGTTGCTGCCCACTGGGCATTTTGGAAAGAGGCTGGGAAGGAGTCCTTCCAGTATTAGAGTTTTACTTTCAGGGGATTAGAAAGCTTTTCAGTTTGAAGAGTCCATCATACAAATATATTTCAGGAGTGAACAAAGTTTAATTATTTATTTGATTAGTGACTAGCTGACCATCTGCTGCGAGTAAGGCAATGAAGGGTTAGTAAACAAGGGAGGATTCAGGCAAAAGGAATGAGGAACTCCTGGAGAAAGTGGACACATGATTAAGGGGACCATTACCTCTATTTTGGTTTGCTTTTAGATTTTGTTTAGGCTGGCTCTGTAAAGATATGGGTTGTTTCCATTTTATTTCCATTCATCCTCAATGCTTTACAATGTATGTCTTAAAATTTAAGTGTTGAAAGTGACTAGAGACTTACTGCTTGTTATCACTGGGTAGTCGTGCTTTGCTTCTGGTATTCCAGAGGGTCTAGCAGAGGCTCCACAGAGCACTTATTTCTATCAATTGCTGCAGAACCTTAACATTTTTTGTTGATTTCTGGTACTAAGTTGATGAAATAACAGGAAAATAGAGCTCAGATGCTTTTGGATAAAATCTTAATTTATCCCCTCCCTTCTCTCTGACTTTTCACTGACTGACTCAACTAGCCCCATATTGTTGGATGCCTTTTTTGGCTCTTATGTCTGCCTCATTCCTTGCATGTGGTCAAGGTCCTTTTCATTTCCTGTATCTCTAACATCCTCTGTGTCTTTTCACTTGGCAGAGCCCTCTTTGATTTTTAGTGTCATAATATTCCCAGCTCTTTCTGCTCTCTTTCTTATTCTCTACGAGTCCCAACAGCCACAACTCGTCAATGCACACTGAAGTTTCTCTTTTCTAATTCTGGACATCCTGCTCTCTTGGACTAAATGTTCTTGGTTTCCTGTTGTTTTGTAGAATAAAGACACACTGTCCAAATTGGCATATGTGATTCTCCCTAATGATAATTGGCATATGTGATTCTCCCAAAGGAGGTTTTGATAGATTGCTTTGGGGCAAAGTGTTGTGTCATGCTCTGGAAGGATTGGGTCATCCCAGGTAGAGACAGGGGCAGAACTCAGGCAAGAATAACCCTAGATAGAGGGAAGAGGTTGACTTTGCTAAGCAGTGTTCCTGTATGTGCCTAAAAGAACATAATTTGGCTGGATTCTGCCCTGAAGACTTGCCAGGCTTTGTTAATCAAAGGAAGCATGGCCTTTAGTAACAACAAAAGAATACTCCTAATATAAAAGACAATTTAAGAAAAAGAGAGGAGAGAAGAGAAAACGGAAATAAAAGGCAATATGAGATATTTGCTCTTACAATATTTATATATGTATATATTTGGGTCCTTAAAAATACATTTTTCTAACATCATTTCATCTTTCACTACCTAAGTCCTGGACTCACTTTCCTTTTGCTGCTCTTCCTTACTTCTGTCTTTCTCTTCCTTCTCTCTAATTTATCCCCCTTTCCCATCTACCTTTTGATTTCTCATTTTCTGTTTACTAGGAATTATGGCTAAAGCCCTAAAGATGCTGCACAACCAGCCCAGCAACACCACTGACTTCTTAGGAGAGTCAGTCAAGAGATTGGCCCTCATCCCAGGTTGTCTGGAGGCTGTTGAACAAGCTGAGCAACCTTAATCCAGTCACACTGCTCCAGCCTCAATAGAGACTCAGTCTATTGGGAGGATTTTTAATTCAGGGACCTACTAGGGCTTGTGTGGAAGGCCAAATAATTACTGACCAGGATAGTTACTCTAAAAGGAAGAGAGAATGGTATCTCACTTCTCATATAAATGTGTTTTTAAATCCAGCTTTCTGATCTCCTCGGTGTCTATGTGACCAGTTGGACAATTGTCCTCAGAGGACTCAGGTGGGGGACAGATTTACACATGTATTTCTGTCATTCAGTTGTTCAGAGTGTTCATGATACATGGGTTTCCTGTGGGTCAGCTAGTAGGCAGCTGACTGTCGGCTACTTAATTATCTCCAGCTGGTGCTTGCAGAGTGAGGGAAACAGAGAGGCTATGGTGACTACTGTAGGTGGTGAGCCATGGATAACAGAATAATTCCCTGATTTAAAAGGAAACTATGGCATTGGGGATCCCCAACTAGTGAAAGCTCGGGATAATCACAAGGATCCCCCACAAGAGAATCACTTGTCAGTCAGGGAGAATTTCAGATCAGTCCGTCTGGACCAAGAGACGGCTACAAGAGCAACATGTAAGTCAGTGATGTCAGAACTTTACCATCTCGTTTCCGTCTACCCTGTTCCAACATGGTCCAAGGAATGAAGATCCAGAGAAGGAGAGACAAGGAACTTTGCAGAAATGGACACATCAATGCTTCCTGGCAGGCCCCCTGGGCCTAAGCAGGGGACAGGGAAACATTGAATAGGCTGAATATGAGATGGAGCTGACACTTGACTGACCTGACTTTGTGAAACCCAGAGTGACAGAATGTATGGAATGGTTGCAAGGTTGCAGAAAATAAGGATGCAGTGAGTGTGGGTGAAGACAGCCACTGGAGGAGGATGGAGCCAGTTCATGCTTGTATCTGCTATGGTCTCAACCTCTGTGTCCCCCAGAGATTTCATATGATGAAATCCTGATCCCCATTGTTATGGTATCCATAGGTGGTTCCTTTCTGAGGTGATAGAATTATAAGGATGGAGCCTCCTCAATGAGATGAGTGCTTTTATGCATAGAGACACACAGAGCTCCTGAGCCCTTCCCCCGTGTGAGGATACAATAAGGAGTGTGAGACCAGAAAGGACCCTGCGTGACCACGAGGTGGAAATCCATTTCCATTGTTTATAAGTCTGTGAGATTTTTAATAAAAACCCAGAAGGTCCAAGACAGCATCCTAACAATCGTCACACAGTTCAGTAAACCTCTTGCTATTTGTACAAAGGTGTGAAGCACTGATCCTGTCTGGTGTAACACTGTGACAGTGGTCTGACAGTTCGCGGCTGACTTTCATAAGAATCCTGAGGATTCAGTCTTCTTGGTAGCATGGCCAGAACCATGAACAATTGTCTAATTCTTTGATTCTCATAACTTGACCCAGAGTAATTTTCTGTAATTCTTATGTAATCTCTTAATGGTCTTTGTAATGCCAGCTTCTGCTATTTGGACTAATTTTAATAGGAGCTTCATTCTCTCAATTGTAGGGGTAGATTTTCTTTTGATTTTGAATTCAATGAAAATAGAAATGGTAACAAATTGTCCTCTTAGATTCCAAATCTCTACAGAGTCTGTGTTTATTTTTTTAAGAGGAGACCCATTTCACAGAGCATGCATGAGAAAACTGTAATTTCATAGAGGCTTGCTATGGGATAGATCATTAGGACCATCTCTGAGCTGGATGCCATAGATGTATATTTAGCACTCATCGCTGATTCGGCACGCCAGGATCTTGCTGTACATGTCAACTTTACGTGAATCCCTGCGCAGGCACTTGAACAGGTTATAAAGTGCAGAATGACGTACATCTTCATCCCTGGACACCAGGGATCCGTATCCTGACCAGTACATGCGTACCTCGGACAATATCCGCCTCACTGGAACAATAATCTGAATACCCAAAAGATAATGATTTCTTACGTGTTTTCTTAGTATTTCCTTATCTTTGTCCCTTGTAATTCTCAAATTAAGATTTGGGTAACACATACAAAAGTAAAACTCTCTAGATATGGATTTTGGAGCCAGCCTATGACAAAACAATTAGGAATCTAAAAAATAGAAACATAACTAAAGTTTAGTTTTAACTTTCTCTTTTCTTCCTTCCCACTCTCATCCTTTGATTTGAGGAGAACAGAGAAAGAAGACAAGTGGAACTTCAATAGCATATGTCCTGGGATACTTTGAGGAAAATGCTGAGCTTAGAAATTCTGTTCTCTAGTTCTCTTACTCTTGAAAATATTTCAACCACCTCTGCCCAGGAAGAGGCAAGCTTTTGGTGGAATCGTGTGCAATGCAGGGAAGGCTGCACATGTCAAAAATTGCAGTAAAATTCTGATTTGTTTACAGTGGAATCTATCACTATGAATGACTAGGCTCCTGCTTTATGTAGTAGCAGATAGCATATAGAAGTCATGAATCTTTTTCTTACAAAATGAGATATTTCAAAACTCCTTCCGCATTACAGAGGTCACCTCTTTCATTCATGAACAAAGCAAGAAAGCCCTCTGCAGGATGCTCACCTGGCTGAATCGCCTCTCTAAGATTCTTTGAAGTCTGTGTGATTTTTTAATATTCTTTAAGGCACTTGATATGATAGTATCTGAGAGGTCTTTCTTAATCCGATGGTCAGTGCCTAGATCAAACAGAGGAGTAGTCCAGAGGTACTGTAACATGAGTATCCACTTAGTAAGGTCTTCATTCTAAGCAAATATAAGAAACAGTCTCTTTGAAATAATCATAATTCAGTGGTTTTGGTTACATGTGATGTTTGCTCAGAGCAGCTGACCTGAAAGACTTTTGGTTATTCCTATGTGTATGCAGAGATTTTTGAAGGTAGTAAAAGTTGCAAAATGATAAAATGTAAGCTATTAGTACACACTTCACTGAATTACTAAAAATCTGGGTTATTTTAGGAATTATTTCTTCTGATGAATTCTAATTTATAACATGAATTTTCTTTTTACTCTGAAATTCTACCACCCACTCAGTGAGTTCTTTGATGTTTGTATATTTTTGTGAGAGAAATCTAATTATTTTATGACAAGTCAATATGTGCCTGCAGTACCTGACCCAGGAAAGAGGCATTCTACCTGTGCCCACATCATTATCACCCAGTGATTCTTTCATATTAATGATAATCAGATGAGTCATTCATATTGGTTTTCGATTGGTAATTTGTTTTGTAATGTTACAACAAAGAGACAATGAAGAAGACATGACATTCCTAAACAGGCTTTCTTTCCTCATTTGATCCCAACAGCAGCCCCCATGCTGGTATCAGAAGAGTCTGTCTTGTTGACATGTGTCCGGGCAGAAAATGGCACAGCGTTATCTTTAGTAACAGCATCCGTGGGATTCACAATGGAGGGTTTTCCCCCCCAGGTTCACTACTACTAACAGAATGGAGCATGAAAATCCTGAGGTCTGAAGATCTCTAGTTAATATGCTTGATTTCTTTACAGCCAAGAACTCTTTTAGTGGTAAAGAACAGAGAACTGAATAGGATGAAATATAGTAATGCACATAAAGTGCTTAGTAAAATATATGGCCGTATAGTAACTCTCAATAAACTTTATTTATTTTTATTTATTTATTTATTTATTTATTTATTTATTATTATTATTTTTAATATCACAACCATAGTGTATCTTTTTTTTTTTACATGTATTCCCCATCCAATAAACTTTAAATTCAAGCTTATTGAAAAATCCCTCATCCTCCTCCTTTTTGAACTTTTCCTTTACTTGATCATCCTAATTATTAATGAGCTTAACAGAGGAAAGAATGCTGATATCATTAAGAAAGTTGTATAGAGAAAAGATAGAATTTTAAGGCAGGATGCACGTCAAAATATTTTAAATAATGTTAGGATTAAGGATAATGCAGGAAATCAGAAAGGAGAGATTATAACGGTGAAAATATGGAGTTATCATTGAGGCTTGATATGTAAACTGTGTTGTTCTCAGAACAAGGCAATTATTGCGGCCATGAGAAGCAAAGCAATGTTACATAGGCCTTTGTGGGGGAAACTTACAAATTAAAAATAAAAGGTGACGGAGGAGTCATTGAGAGTGACAAATGAAGGAGGTGTCAGAGAAGTAGAAGCAGAATCAGGAGAGCCTTGAAAGGCAGATGCAATGGCTCGAGTGGTGCAGTGTAGGACTCCCACGTACAAGTCACTACTAACAGGGAGTATTCAAAACTGGGGTGTGTTTCTTACATATTCATGAATTTTGCAATCTTATATTTTACACATGGAAGTTCCCATTCATTTCCTGTTTTTGTACAGAATAATAGCTGCAATCCTGTGTCTAATGCATTGCTTGAACTAAATTTGTCTGCATGGACAATTTATAGATCTGTTGTTTATTTTGATTCTACAAATCTTTTGTTATCCCTTGATTTTGCTCATGTTTCATCAACTGCATAATATAATGTCTCTTCAACTGCTTACAATTCCTCCACCGTTTTCTTCATGTACAGTTTCCATTACCACTAATAATCTGAAGCCTGTTAAGCTACACACTGTCTCACTGGATCTGGTGAAAAACCCAGGTGAAATACTCACATTCATCTCTTCGGCCATTTCTCTTTCTTCAGGAGCATGGAGGCAACTGGTGTGGCAGTCATTGATGGTATTGATATACTCCAATTTACTCTGGGGATACTTTTCTTCCTAAAGGGATCAGGCAATTAGTTAGGGTTGTTGGGTATTCAGTAGATGAGCCCATTACCAGAACATTAACATGTTTGATAGACGTGTAATTTTTTAATGGGGATGCATCACAAAACTTGAAAGTCATTCTTTTCCTACCTTTTCTATATATTGTCTCTATAAAAATGATTTTACATCTAACTTTCCTAAGTTCAAACTTTTCCCTTCTCTGTTTTATCATTATCTCTTTTTTTTGTTTGTTTTTTAGTATTTGAACCAAATATAGTACTTTTGTACCAATACTTGCTGCCTCCCAGGTGACGGTAGTGGTAAAGAACATTCCTGCCAATGCAGGAGATATAAGAATACTCAGGTTTGATCCCTAGGTGAGGAGCATCCCTTGCAAGAGGGTATAGCAGCACACTCCTATACTCTTGCCTGGCAAATCTATAGATAGAGGAGCCTGTTGGGCTACAGTCAGTAAGATTGCAAAGACTTAGAATGTTGATGTGACTTAGAATGCATGCATGCACCTATATTTAACCATTTAATCTCAAGTTTACTGTGGGTTAGAGCCAATATATTCCCTTAATAGGAGTAATACAGTAATGACTCTGACTTATCTCTGAAGCAGCTCACCAAAAAGCTTAGTGTCCATCCCAGGTGCAGAATACAATATTGTTTACAGTGACAAAATGGTACGACAGAAAAACATGGCAAAAAGTTATAGGAAATACTAAGCAATGGACTTAGAATAATAAGAGTAGAAAAATCTAACTAACGTTTTGATAGAGAAAAACCAATCTTTAATGGAAGTTATGAACATTTGAAGAGATTAGTGGAGGAGTTGGAAAAAAATGGACAGTCAAAAATGGAGGATGAAACAGACACTAGTGAGTGCACAGAAGTATGTAAATTTAATAGAAACCTTTAGCACCGTCTTTACTACCTGTCTGCTCTATTGTGTGCTCCTTGAATGACCTAAAAGAATTAACGTTCAATCTTCAAATACCTTCATCAGAAAGAGAATAATTGTTTCCAACTGTAAACTCCCCTTCTATTGTGGCTCGAAACTATTCACTGCAAATCATAAAACAATAATTTGTAGCATTAAAGAAACTACCAGTATTCGTTTTTGTGACCGGGATCCAGCTTTGTTTAACATGTTCCATCCACGCAGTTCACTGCAGAGCAGTTCTCATTTATTGGCTATTTACTCTGAGCCTGGAGAAGAAAGCCCAGAGAGACACTGAAGGACCAGAAAATCACCATGCTTCATTTTCCCCAGTCCCAGCTAAAAGTGCTTTATGTCAGTAGTATTGTGGACTGAATGTGTGTTGTTTAAATTCATGTGTTAGAGCCTGAACTGCCAAAGTACACTGTTTTGAAAAGGGTTCTGACTTTTTGGCACGCCATGGTCTATAGCTCACCAGAATCCTCTGTCCATGGGATTTCTCAGGCAAGAATACTGGAGGGGCTTGCCATTCCCTTCTCTAGGGAATCTTCCAGACCCAGGGATAGCACCTAGGACTCTCCCATTGCAGGCAGATTCTCTACCATCTGAGCCACGAGCAAAGCCCATTAAGGTTAAATGAGCTCTTAGGGTGGAACACTCATCCAGAAGGATTAGTGTCTCCATGAAGTGAAACAGCAGAGACTTTTCTGTCTCTGTGTCTGTGTGTCCTTTCCTCTGTCTCTCTTCCCACCCCCCACCCTGTGTGAGGATGCACGGAGAAACGATCCTGGGAAGAAAGAGTTCTCAGCAGAGCCTCACCTTGCTGGTGCCCTGATTTGGGACTTCTAGCCCCCAGAGCTGTGAGGAAATAAATTTCTGGTGTTTATTCCGTGAGTCTGTTGTATTCTTCTATGGCATTCCGAGCTGACAAATACAAAATCATTTATTTGGAAATTTAAAAAAGAAAGTGATTGAAAAGAAATTGAAAAAGTTAATGCACTTCTTAGGAATCTCTCAGATTTTACAAAACTGTTCCTTTCTTCAATTTCCACATCTTATGAGCTGATGGCGTCTTTAACCTAGAGAGCATGTTATTTGAAGTTTGGCTGATGCAGCCCTCTTGTTGAAAGGAAAGTATGGCCCAGTTACTTATACGAAGGTTCCTTCTGGGAGCCTGGCGAGCTACAGTCCATGGGGTCGCAAGAGTCGGACACAGCTAAGCATATAAACTACCACCACTGAGTACTTACAAACTGATTTAACATTATTGTGGTAAGGTTACCCATGTCATGGGACAGGCTGGAGACACGGCTAAACGTTTGTCTAAGGAACTTCAGGGGGATGCCAAAGATGTCAGGACCGCAGGACGGGCATACGTTGCCTTGGCACAGGAGCAGATTTGATAGGACCAGCAGCAGGACCAGGCAGGGCCCTGTTAAAATAAAAACATGAGCCATTCTGAGACGATCTAGTCACCTGAGCTTATCAAATCCATCCTGTAGAGGGAAGCCTTCTCTTTCCCTGTTGCACTGAGCAGGAGTTGGTGCTATAGTAGCTGGGGTGGGGAAGAAGGAGCGCCTTCTGTGTGAATTTAGATGGATGATGACATTTGTACAGATAGATAGTTGGAGAAGTAGGTCATTCCCTGCATTTTTGTATTGTGCCAGAAGTACTTCTGTGCTCTGCAAACGTTTGGAACTTAATCTGAGCCAGAGTATTTAGGCCATTCTTTTAAGACAGTTTAATGTGGGGACTCTGCAGACTCTGAGCAGCCAGGCCCTCTAGGAGTTTGTATTTTTTCACTCTACATTGACTATTGCTTGAATTTTAGACACTGAAATGACAAGAAGTGTACAGCTGATCTGTATGGTTTACCATCACGCTGGGGTAAGAGTAAACACGTGACTGACTGATCGCTGCTACTGAGCACAGAGACAAGACTCAGAGAAAAAGGACACCGTGCCTTGGGGCTGCTAACTCAGCTTCATAAGCCCATGCAGGGCTTTGATGCTTTCCCAAAAGCTCTAAAACATCTTAAAATTTGTGTTTCACAGTAGCCCTGTGAGATAGCCTTCATCTTCACTATGATCATCAAGTTATGTTAAGGAAGATGCAATGCCTTGGAGAGGGCAAATAATTTTCCCCAGGTCCCATTATTAGCAGATGGAGGTGACTGGGCACCAATGCAGTCATCTGTCCACTTCCTGATGTCACATCACACATGCCTGTGGGCTCCCGGTCTACATGTCTGTAACCAGGAGAATATCAGGAGCTGTGATGACTCTGCTTAATGTGAAAAATATTTTGTCTTTGACTGCAAAACAGCAGTGCCCCTAGAACATTGGTTTTATCCACTTGTTCTGCTCTGTCTATAAAACATTCAGTGTTTGATAATTGTCAGTGTGGGGGCCTGGTTCTCCTGGTCAACCTTGCTTCTAGGCAACTTGACAACTCTTCTACTTTTAAGCATCCTTAACCTTCTCATTACATTTGTTTCTTCGAGAAGATGGCAGGTAAATCTCCAAATGGTAACAAGAATATTACCTGATCAGCACCTAAGACAACGTCATTGGCTCTGTGAACAAAGGCCTGACTTTAATGTTTTAGGGAGTAAATTCATCTGTCTGGTCGGGAGTATATCCTGACAACCCATGGGGCTTAGTTTTTGAACCATCTCCAAACATCACTGCTTGATAGGAGAACTAGACCTTCATGCTTCCATTATGTATTTTAATATTTCAGAAATTACTTCTGGCCCTACTTTTGGCCAACAGACGCATAAAATCATAGACTCTTGCAAGCTTGATTTTAATATTACTTTCCCTGTACATCCTTTGTAAGTAAGTAGAATTTAAGACTGAAGTGAGGAAGAATAGAGTTTGGACAAGAAACTGATTAAACAGGAATTCTGTCCTCCTGAATGAAATCTGAACATGATTCTTTTTCCAATTTACCAGAAGAGTGGTAATTTATTTAAATATAAGATATCAGCATTTACTAGGTTTTCTCTGCTCTTATTTACTTTAAAGGGGCATGTATAAGAATAAAATAGTTATTTAAAATTAGGTGATGATAATCAAACAAGTGGTTTGCAAAAAGAAGACATAAGTTGGAGAAATTTGGGACAATCTCTCTCATCAACTAAAGAGCTTATTGTGACAGGCAAGGAGAATAATAGCTTGTATAACATAGATGTATTTCTGTGTATATATCTGTGCATGTATACATGTGTTATGAGTAAATATATGCTTAATTCCTACATGGAACTTTGAACCTTATGAAATTCAATTTTATAAGTGGCAGTAAATGTAACAGAATATCCTAATTCTTAATATAATTGATCATTTGTTGGTAGATGACTAACTATATGATTTTTTTTTCTTTTAAATTGTTATTTGTGTGTTTGCTTTGGTAGCACATATATTAAAAAATTGGAATAATACTGAGAAGATTAGCATGGCCCCAACCCAAGGATAACACACAAATTTATGAAGCCTTCCATATTTTTCTCTAACAGTTTCGAGGGCTGCGATGGGAAGGACGGTGGGAAGAAGGTTCAAGAACGATTGGACATAGGTAAAAATATGGCGATTTATGTTGATGTTTGGCCAAAAGCGGTACAGTATTGTAAAGCAATTAGCTTTCAATTAAACATCAATAAATCTAATTATTAAAACTGTTATTGGGGATCATATAACAGGTTCAGATGTCCATTCTATGACTAAAGTGGATCTGACTGGAAAATGATGGTGTCAATTATCCTTGGTTTGTGATTCATTAACTTTATAGTTGAATGAGAAAAGTAAACTAACCAACACTATTGTCAGTGATTCCGTGTCATAGCAAGTTATAATCCTTGTCTGCATTCACTTTTAGGTGGTATAGCGCACAAACTTTAAAACTGAGGCTGATCCAGAACTGAACAGTCATGAGTCCTGCCCAGGATTTCTGATCCTGATGCTGGAAGCTTCTGTTTGCTGGTCCACTAGGTCCGAAACTTTCTCTCCTGAGCATTCTCTGGTTCTATCATGTGCACAAGTCTTTCTATTTTGGTTGTCTAATTTGATTCTCTTATTCTTTTGATCAGACTACCAAGTCTCTTCATGATTTACTTTTCAGACCCTTTTGTGCTTTGCTTTTTCTGATGCTCATTAGTGTATTTGCTTCCATGTCTACCTCTCTGAGTAGTTTTCAATATCTACATATACCCTACCCTATTTGCTTACCTTCTGGATTTTGGCGTTCCACATCAGCATATTTTATGAACTTCATTTTCCTTCTGGTGAAGTTTCTGGTATACAGTTTAAACTGGTTGGCTCCCATCTGGCTTTTTTATGTTTTGTCCAAAAAATTAGAGAACTCTGCTTTCTTTCTAGGCAATACTACCCCTTCATTTGATACCATTGCAAATTTTCTGTGATTTCACCTCCTGTCTCATAAACTTTGTCTTTCTCAATCTACTGTAACTTGAGTGCTATGTGTCTCTATGTTGGTGTTACTGTTTTATTTTATATTGTTAATTTTAATTAGAGACTAATTACTTTATAATATTGTATTAGTTTTGCCATACATTGACAAGAATCCGCCATGGGTATACATGTGTTCCCAATCCTGAACCGTCTTCCCACCTCTCTCCCCATCCCATCCTTCTGGATCATCCCAGTGAACCAGCCCCAACCATCCTGGTTCATGCATCTAACCTGGACTGGTGATTCATGTCACATGTGATAATATACATGGTTCAATGCCGTTCTCCCAAGTCAGCCCATCCTCACCCTCTCCCACAGAGTCCAAAAGACTTCTATACATCTTTGTGTCTTTTGCTGTCTCACATACAGGGTTATCGTTACCATATGTCTAAAGTCCATATATACACATTAGTGTGCTATATTGGTGTTTTTCTTTCTGGCTTATTTCACTCTGTATAATAGGCTCCAGTTTCATCCACCTCATTAGAACTGATTCAAATCTATTCTTTTTAATGGCTGAGTAATATTCCATTGTGTATATGTACAACAGCTTTCTCATCCATTCATCTGCTGATAGGCATCTAGGTTTCACTTATCAATGTCTTAGGGAAGGGGAATCACTCAGTGATGCCCGACTCTTTGCGACCCCAGGGACAGTAACCTGCACAAGCTCCTCCGTCCATGGGATTTTCTAGGCAAGAATACTGGAGTGGGTTGCTGTTTCCTTCTCCAGATCAATGTCTTAAAGGTTTTCCATAAAAACTTTCCACAAATTGCTTAAGTTTATTCCTAAGTGTTTTATCTTTTTGTGATGTAATAGTAAATTAGCTTGTTTTCTTTCTTCAACTTTCTCATAGTTCATTGTTAATATATATAGGTACACAACAGAGTTTCATATATTGGAATATAGTAAACATAGTGTATGCTACATCTTTAAAGAATAGACATTTTCCCACAAATAAGACATATAGATGGTCAAGAGGTATATGAAAAGATGCTCAGCATCGCTAATATCAAAGGGAATGCAGATATAAAGCAAAAGAGATATCACTTCGTGCCTGTTTGAATGGCTAGTACCAAAAATATAAGAAATGACAAATCTTGTTGACGATGTGGAGAAAAAGGAGTGCTCATGTTCTGTTGGTAGGGATGTATACCAGTGCAAATCCCACGGAAAAATACTGTGGAGGTTTCTCAAGAAATTTAAAGGAGAACTGTTATGTGATCCATTATCCCACTTCTGGATATATAGTCAAAGGAAATTAAATTATTTTCTCAAAGAGAGATCTGTATTCCCACATTCATTGCAGCATTATTCACAATAGCCTTGGTATAGGAACAACCTTAGTATCTTTCAACAGGTGAATGCATTAAAACAATGTGATATAACATATATAGGTAAATATTATTTAGCCATTAGAAAAGGAAAGAAATCCTTCCAATTATTGCAACATGGATGAAACTGGAGGGCGTTACACTACGTAAACTAAGTCAGACAAAGAAAAATACAATATGATCTCAATTATAAGGAATCTCAAAAAAAAATAATCTCTGAGAGACTGGACATCATCGACTGACATACTGACTCAACGGACATGAGTTTGAGTAAGCTCTGGCTGTCGGGGATGGACAGGAAGGCCTGGTGTGCTGCAATCCATGGGGTCACAAAGATTCAGACACGACTGAATGACTCAACTGAAGAGAGTGGAACTTACCTGTGTTCTCAAAAAGCAAAAGTTAAACATGTGTTATGATGGCAATGTTACTTAATAGAAAGGTAAACTCATTTCTAATACATGCACAAATGGGGGTGGACAGGATGATGGAGGCTTAGGTGGAAGTGGGTGCACCTCTCTCCACTGATGCATCAAGAATGTCTGAAGGCACAGCAGTTCTCACAGAAGATCAGGTGAACACTGGCAGGACTCCCTGACTACTGAGAAGGAATATCTGGATCCACACA